GATTAGGGTTTGATAAAACTCCCGAACCGGACCCTAACCGAACTAAATCGAACCGAACGGTTCTTCTTAAATTAAATACCCGAACGAGTATTTAAATCAAGAATCGACGGGTTCGGTTCGGTTCTCAATTCTAGAATTAGAACCAAAAAATTGAATCTTCCTAATTTTTAAAATTTTTTTAATCTTAAATAAGTCAAATTATGTGTTGTCCAATTAGGGCACTGGTTGCATATATGTATGCATTCTACCTAACATCTAAAGAATATGTCTGCTCAGGTATGTACCTTCGAACCTTAGATGTATCTGAGTTTTTTTTTTTATCTTGAACGCTTTAGTAGCCAATTGCAGTCGATATCCACGCAACATATAATGAGAGATCTAGTATTCAACTTTTTAACTTTGAAATGAAACTTCTCGGCCAAAGCTTGTAGTCGAAGCATTGTGTGTAATTATTTCTTGCTAAAGAAGATTTGATTCTCCACAATTTCTCGTCGATCTTTCGATTCCTTTGCATTTCCAATATATGGATTTCCTTCAATTAGGTCGTCATCTGTATCTGGAATTATTTGTGGCTCTTTTAGTTCGGACACACCAACTTCTTTATGCCCGTACAATGCCTTTTCTATTGGTGATAAAATGATCAACTCCGACTTTCACCTCTTTCTCTTCGAAATCACCCAAGGCTATTTGTGTGTGAATATAAGTGTACCATTGCAAATCCTCGTCATTGACTACATCAGCAAGGGGTACATTCATATTCGAAATTTTAAATTTCAGGTGGATTCGAAATTTGACTCTGTCAAGATTAAGTTTTTTGAATAATTTATTGACAAGTTTTTCATATCTAATGTCAATTTGACTAACAATTGATGCTCGGTTCCCAAACCACTTCCACGTGTCCTCCATATTGACGAATGCACCATCATGCGAGATAGCAAATCTCATAATATTTTCCATATCTGCATTTCATTAATGTAAATAAGATTAACTAACACGAATACCTAAAACAAACATTCTACCTGTAAGCAATATGATCAATGCTAACCCAAAATCTTTCGTAACTTCATTGTGAACTAAACTTTTTATCTACCTCTTGAATCTCCAATGATGCATTTTTCCCCTCAATTCCCTTAGAAACTCAACATTCAGTTCATCCAATTTACCATGAATACCTTTTACTTGGAGTTTCTTTTTACTAGCTTCTTTACTTGCTCAAGAGAGGGAGCTGCAAGGGCATATTGACTTGCTAATGGCTGCATGACCTGGAGGAACTCTTGAAATTCTTGCTCTTCATGATCTCTCCTTTTGCTATTGCAACTTTAGAAACTTTAGGACCGGTTACTTTCTTTTCCTCTTCAGATGAACTCCCATGTTTCTTCACCGAGTACCGACTCCATGGAAGTGGAATGTTTGAATCTCCAACATTCCGAGCAATTTGAATTTAGACAAAGGTTACTTCTTTTTTTCCCCTTTTAATTATAATACTTAAATAATGTGATAAGTGCACTTCATGGCATACTATAATAATAAAAAGCTGCTTGCAAATACAATTTGCTGCTCAATGAATGTCCAGGAAAAAAGTCACTTTATCTTAGGGTCTCCATTACTAATTCTTCCTTATGCAACTATGCAAATATTTTATTACACTCAAACCTCTCCTACGAAGTGAGTGTCTGAAACGAACTACCTGCAAAGCAAATATAGACCTCACAAATTATTCTGAAAGTATTCGCGAAAGACTTCTTGAAGTAGTTAATGGCTTGCTCTGCTTCTTGCTCTGTGCTGTATCCCGTAAATCCAAACCACCTGATCTTCCAATTCCTGCACCAAAATTAAAGTGTTTCCAATTGTTCAAATGGCGGACTAAAGAAAAAGGTAAAATGAATATTATAAAGTGTACCGAAAGGGGGATGCATTGTGCGCGTGAGCTTGGCATCAACAACTTCGCCTTTCTGGGAGAAGAATTCTCTGAGGTGGTCCTTTGATACATATCTAAGCAAGTTCTTCTCGCATATTGGTGACTTTCATTTTCTAAATTAATCATAAACGTATACTGAATCATAAAATCAGCATAGGAAAATGCAACGAATTGCAGGGTTAAATCAAGCACTTACATAGTTTTTGTGCTTTATTGTTTACCAGAAATCAAGCATACAAGCCGTTGTCCTAGAGTAGGGGATGCTGCCAGGCTACGACGGAGATACAGACTATTTGTAATTTGGTATATTCTTAGGCGCGAGTGTTTTGAATAACGGTGGCAGCATGTTTGACAGGTCCTCGCGCTATTTTACGTTCTCCTTATAGGAATGGAATTTTCACATATAGTCCCCAATCTATGGACTTCCTGCGCAATTCATCCTCAATCTTCCATTCTTAACACTTACATCCTCACCCGCTATGTATGTAAGAGCGTCCATCTCAATACTCCGCTTTTAGAGGGCAAATTTTTTCAACAACTCTTAAAACAATTTGGCATTTTTTTTAATCTTAAAATAAGAAAGAAAATTGTCCTATTTGCTGCATGCAGGAATATCTTCGACAATGGAAGACAATTGAGAGAAAGTGGTGAAATGATGCAATTAGTTTAATTTTTAGGTGAGGTGATGGTGTGTGTATGTGTCAACATGATCATTTTGTGTGTTACATGATTTTTGCATAATAAAATATTACTTTTGTCGTCAAACTTAACAATGTCATATTCACTATCATCAGCAACTTCTACCCCCTCAATCATTGTCGATAACTTTCTCTCTTCTTCATCAAACGTGTTTCAACTCGATTTTTAAGAACCTTTAAAAATATTGAAATTTGTAACGACAAGACGAGGAAAGTAGGGTGCAACAGGGGCGGAGGGGAGAGGGGTCCAGGACCCCCCCAATCTTTTGGAAAAAAATTTATTTTTTATTTTTTATTTTAATTTTTTGGCCTCAATTTTTTTTTTTTTAATCTCCTAATCCAGCCCATTCAATTGTTTGTGAAATTGTATTGTTTATCAATTATGAGTGAAAGAGTTTCATCAATCCTCAGATTCGGTGATAGAGAAATATTTGAAAAGATTAGTAGTTTCTTGATTTTTTTGTGAAGTCTTCGTACATTAATTTATGTTCATTTATTTCATTTCTCCATCACAAAGTACCAACTTTTCTTATTTTAACAGATAATGTTTCAAAAAAAAATTTCGGGGGCAGCACCCCATGAGCCCTTGCCCTTCAACTCTAGGACCCCCCTAGTTTGAAGGGCTGGCTCCGCCCCTGGGGTGCAATATATAATCACATAGAAATGTCACACAACTTAATCAAAATCTAGATTGTTTAGGCTCACATTCGTAAATTTATGTCCTCAATTTATACTTGAATTGAGCTTACTAGTTTCTTGTTAAATTTAAACAAATTTTAATGTGACTAGAATTATGTTCAAGACACAATTAACTACTTTTCTGGATTACATTTTAAGTTGAAATCTAATTTTGAGCAAGTTATATAGAGCTGAAATCTTGACATGTCGATTTTATTTCAATTTTTTTCCTTGATCAACTTTTGACGTAGTTCTATTTTCATCGTCCAACTTTGTTTTGTTCAGAGAGTCGTTAACAAGCGAAAGAAGTTCCGTCTCAGGCTAGAAACTATAGATTCTCGTGCGCTTGAACGAGATGAATTTCATCTAGAGATGTTTTATTATATTCATCTACATGATCGGTATGACATAAGTAACTATCAATATGACGTTACTTTATATATTGTTTTTCTTTTTTAAAATACATATATGATGTGGAGTCTCGCTATTATTCAACTTGATACTATGCATATTATTAGTGAAAAACGGTTATGCTACATGTACATCATAATTTACAAATTTATTTATCAATAGATGATGCGACGAGATTTGATTGAGTCAAAATCTCATTAACAAAGTAATAAAAAATTATTTGATAGAAGTGAACAAAGTAATTAGTTGAAAACAAATTTATCTTTTCAAAGCCAAGTTGAACCAATTATTGAATTTGAACGACTCTAGAACAAAACAAAGTCGAAATGAAAAGAGAATTTGCAGCTCTGGTCCTAAACATTATCCCCTAAGCACTCGACTACTCAATAAATTTGATTATTTTTTCAGATCCTAAACTTTTAATTTAGGTGGGTCCTATGTTCTTTTGGATAGAAATCATTCAAAATTTTATTAATAACCACGTTATTTTTAAAATTATGGAGATTTAAAAATCAAGAAAATTTTATGAGGACCAAAGTACATTAAGTAATAGTTTATGAAATTGCATTTGCACATTTTCCTACTGATGAAAATGAAACAAACAAATTTGGGAGTAATTTTCATCAGTGGTCACTAAAATTTTAATATTCAGTCGTGCTTAAAATCGAATTAAAATTGAAAATATAGATGTTATTGGCTCTCACTCGTCTAATAAAAGTCAATAATAACGGTTAATTTTTCAATTTTAATCTGATTTTAATCTCTACCAAATACGTCCTAAATTTCAATTCGGTCACTAAATATTAATGTATCTTGAGTAACTCAAATCTCACTACTCTATTACATTCTGTCATCTATCTTCCCAGAATCTAACAAAAAATTATCAGTTTTATCGTAATTGATCTTTCACATAATCACTACATTACCCTAGAAACGAAAATGGTAAAATGTGAATTATGATAATGATAATGTTCTAACATTAAAAAGTTAATTATATATTTTATTGAACAATAATATTCAGTACCAGTGGAGATAGAACACACGTTTAGGTGTAAGAATATAATACATCTAAATAAATTGGATTTAATAACTTAATCGATTCATATTAAAGTTTAGGGATCAAACTTGAGATGTCTGAAAGTTCAATGGCCGTAGATGAAATTTTCCTATTTGAACAGTATTTTCATCTGGTTCAAGTAGAAATCTTGGACACTGGAAGACCGCACAAAAATTGTAAAACGAAAGGGCTTATAAATATCCTTTGAGCCTCATTCAAGGCACAAACAAAAGGAAAAATGGCATGGAATTGTTGCTCCAGTTCTTTCTCTACGAACACCTGTGCTGTAGCAATTCCCTCTGTCAATTCCATCCATTTTCGAGCTCGAAATCGTTTCTTTACTCAGGATGCATCATCGCAATCACTCAGAACCATCGGAATTGAACTTGTTCCGTCAAGTTTCAGAGCCAAGTGCAAGGCCACAGAATCTGAAGTTGAAACCAGACCACTGTCGACGTCTTCTGAAGTTGAATGTTTAGGCACTGGGCACGACGTAGAATGCGTGGTTAACTCTCAAGAAGAATTGTCGAAGAATCCCATCAACTTAAACGAGGAATCAGTATTATCTTCATCGTATGTGCTGGAATTTATGGGGTCAGCATGGGAATGGGCACTTTTGATATCGCCTTTCTTCTTTTGGGGCACATCCATGGTGGCAATGAAGGAAGTTATTCCCAAAACGGGACCTTTTTTCGTGTCTGCATTCCGGTTAATCCCGGCCGGTTTGTTGTTAGTTGGTTTCGCGGCTTCCCGAGGCCGGAAATTTCCTTCTGGGCTTAATGCTTGGCTCTCTATCTCGGCATTTGCTCTCATTGATGCTTCTTGCTTTCAGGTCCTTTGATAATTTGTAACTCAGTCATTTTGTATTTGAAATTTATCTGGCTTTCGTTTTGTGGTGATTTCGTTGGTGGTGAACAGGGTTTTCTTGCTGAAGGATTGGAGAGGACTACGGCTGGTCTTGGTAGTGTATGCTCTTTAAACTCTTGATAGAAGCTTTATTTTTACTAGAAATTGTTATAATGCTGTATTTATCTTCTTGTATGTATCATTTCTTGCCACAAAAAGTGAACTTTATCTTGTTATAATAAATATGCTGATTCTCTGAAAAAAGTGGAAAATGGTTATCAGGACAGTTCAATCCTGGAAAAAAAACACTTGTTTTTGGTGTTCCAGATTTGAGGAACTACCAAAAAATGATATGCATGTTAAGAAATGCTTAGGCAACTGAAAATGATATTTGAATACATTGATATTTCTAGTTTTGTTGCACTGGTGCGAGTAATAATCGAATTATAAGCAGCAATAAAAATCTGTAACTTTTTGTGAATCGACATGTTATCCTTGTATTTGTGGAGATAACGGATAAGTTATATATACCATTATTATTTTTTCCTTGTCATTTGTCTATTCTCCAAGGGATTGTTAAAGAGTTGCTCTTTGTTTCCGTTCGATGAAATTTACATGAAATGTTTAATTCGGACATTGTTAAGACTTTGATAAATGTTGCAGGTTATAATTGATTCACAGCCTCTGACTGTGGCTATCTTGGCTTCCTTGTTGTTTGGCGAGTCTATTGAATTGATTGGAGCTGCTGGACTCGTGCTTGGCATCATTGGCCTTTACCTTCTCGAGGTATAAATAATGGCAATTTTAGGATTCTAGTTTCCCCATTTCTGCTTTAACTTGAGTTAATTATGTTGGTGCAAACTAGCCCTACTGAATCCATGGATCTGTCAATAATGGTGGATTGACTTCTTGTCCTTTAAAGCTCCAACTATATCCTAAGTCCTAACTGAGTTATCGGGACACTGCAGATACACACCAAGATAGAAAACTTTGGAGACTGAGAAATCAATAATTATTACAAAAAATAAAATAATACCTGCTTTCCAAACTTGCGCATGTAATAAATAAGCATTTGTGGATTTTAACTTCATTATTTGATATGCAGTTTCCATTATTTATCCCAGCTGGAAAGAACCTGACTCCAACATGCTATGCTGCAAATATTTTTCTTAAATATTAGGATCAAGATGGGAAAATTCTCCATAACTATCCACATAGCATTAGTGAAAGGACAACTTTCCATCAAACTAGGAATTGTGATAACCTATAGGCGGTGAGCTATATATTGATAATCTAAAACGTCCACAATGACATCAGTTGGCTCCAGAGAAGCACAGGGAACAGGAACAAATTTCTGATACCAAAATAGTAGAAGCCAAGCTGTACAGACTGAATCAGATTCAAAGTTGGAGCACTGCAGACTTGTGGTTGCTGGTGCATGCTGTCGTTGGCAAGTGTTATCAATTAGTTAAGATTTGATTCAATAAAGGAGGTCACAAGGAGACAGGAGTTAACTGGAATTAGTGGTGTATGGATTCAAAGCCTTAAAAAACCTACACTGGACACGACAGTGCTAGAGGAATGGGGTGGTGAATCTGGAGTACTCCCACTGACTTGGGGAGACGACTGCCATGATTTTTTAGATTGGCACCTTCCAAGTCAAACGATACCACCCAAGATGCACTGTGGATCAGTGGTCGTTTCTGTCGAGGCACGTGGGGTGTTTTAATGTTGGAGGTTGAGGATGGTGGGGTTGTGTAGATTGAATGTTTCTGCGCCTTTTTGGATGTGCCATGTAATCCTTCAATAATGCATGAAGTGAAAGCATGGAATCAATAGACAAAATAAATGGAATTTCTTTGAGAAGGACTCGACCAGAGGAAAGAACAGGATTGGATACCAATTGATGTAGATGGATAAGGAGAATGAGAGAGGAAGTGAGAAGGCGGCAGAAGAACTGAGAAGAATTTAGAAAGACAAAACACAATTTGAGAGAGAATCTCTATATTAATGAATCATAAATGAATGTCTCAGTTCTTCAATAGTAGTAATCCTATTTATATGCGTGAATGGAAACTCGCTTAAGTAACAAATGGAATATTTTTGTAACTTTAAGTTAAAAATTAATATTAAAAGAAAACACTATTGTTTCCACTTTATGAATTTATGCTTGAAGTAATTAATTATTGTAGGATTCTGATTTCTTTGTTAGGAATGCAATCTTCATAAGCTGCTCTGCTGCCAATAATTCTTATACTGCCCTAGTGTGGATTTAAATTGAAGATCATTTTGGCAATTCTCATGAGATAAAAAAGGGCATCAGTTACAATAAATACAGGCCCCTAACAAAGAACTATTTTGTATTCTTGAGATTTCAACATCATGGCTTGCAACTTGAATTTTTAACGTTAAACAAACTTGCATTGCCTTGAGGGCTTACTCATCTTAAATTTGCATATTCGGAAAGATTTTCAATGGGCTATAACCTAGAACATATTAGCCATGTGTCATGGTTCCCATTGCAAGGTATGTGACTTGAATATCATATCGAAAGTATGTGCTTTGGGTGTGTAATTCATATAGACTTGGGCTCTCTAACTTCAATGGCTAGCTTTTGAGGTATGGTTCTTTGATATCTTTCCAAAATTCTGATAGTTTACAATTGCAAGTAATCTGGTATGCTCGCACGAGTTTCAATCTTGCAGGTGCCTGCTCTTGCTTTTGACAAAAATAACTTTTCACTATGGGGAAGTGGGGAATGGTGGATGCTTCTTGCAGCCCAAAGTATGGCAATTGGAACAATTATGGTCCGCTGGGTCTCCAAATACTCAGATCCTGTTATGGCTACTGGATGGGTAAGATGTACTGCAAGTATTAACTTTAATTTATTTTCAATGAGCGGTCTTGGAATAGATTTGGTAATAATGTCTTTTAGAATAGATTTGGAATTTTCACTATGTTTTCTGGAATTGTACACATCACATAATTATCCCAGTATATTTGAACTGTAAGGGATTAGTGATTGATCTTCTTCTCTTCTGTAATACCTTTACACTTGAAATGTGTGATTTTCAATTTTAGCGAGAATTATCTCTCCTAGTAAATCTTGAAAACTTTCCCCTCAAATAAGTGTTCCTTTTGGTGATATTTGTCTGTATGCATGCCTAAATTACAAATATTGTTGCACTATTGATATCTCCTCATTTCTCTTCATAGTTTTCCTTCTTTCTCATTAACTCCAAAGTTTGGCGGGAAATTGGGATTACCCTGTTCTAATCTCCTATTAAGTTCAGTTAAGTTAAAACAACTAGGCTTTACATTATATATGCAGGGAACATGAAGTTTGCAGGAAGTCAAAACTCTCGAACATTTTTAGTGATGTTTGGTTCTGTTTTAACATGTGCAATCATATAAAATGATGTACTAGGCCTTTTTAGGAGGAATGCCGCTTCCATGTTCCACAACATACACATGCTACTGTTAAATCATACGTCAATCACAATGCAACAATTCAATACCTTTATACATTTTTTTTTAAATAATAGATGCATAAGATCCACCAATGTAAGTTGTGCAGAGCTGGAAATTATAACTGGCACATTTACATATCAACGATAGCTTAACTGTTAACGATCTTTCCAAAAAGGAAAGCATTGTAGGTACATAATATCATTTTTAAATAACAAACCAGTATTCTACATAACCTTCCATTACCTTGATGGTATACTTTTGGCTTCTGCCCTTACAAAATCCAGTTCTCTCCAGCGAAGACATTTACCCTGTTGGTTAAGTTTTTCTATTTTTCTTATCCATGTCACAATCATTTAGCCTTGTCCATATCCTTTGTTCAAACACTATTCCCTGTGCTCAATATGTTGGTCCTACTGTATCTGCCTTGTTATCCTCAGTTTTTTTTTTTTTTTTTCTAAACACTTACTATCCTCATGTTAGTATCACATTTATTGTCATTCTTTATACCCAGCTTATCTCTGGAAAAGTGCTGGAGTCAATATTTTGTTTATCATACTTGAGTTTCAGGATCCTCTGTTAGACAAGAAAAATTCTTGGGATTTTAATTATAGTGGAGTTAGGATAATTAATTATATCAATATATTGTGTCTCGTATAGGATTTAGCCCCTGTTTTTCATTATTTCCAGACCCTTTTTTTTGCTGAAACTCATTTTAGCCACACATTCTCCCAATAAAATATTTTGCACACAAACCAAAACTTTTTCCTACTTTTTAACCATATATTCTTCAAAAATTCACTATTCCAAAACTCATTTTCCTACTTTAATGGTAGACAAACATGAGCTTAGTTGAATGGGAAACTTTCTCTTGCCTTTAGAATTTATTGTGCTATATCAGATGTCAGTTTTGTTGTTGAGATTCAGATTCACCAATTTATCAGATGGAGATTTCATTTGCCTAAAAGCTGGCCTAAATAATAGCCGTGTAGAGATTTCTGTTGTAATCCAGAGCAACTCTGAAGTGGGTGTGAAATTACATGTTCCTATAATTTGGAATTTATTTTGTTTACTTGTTGCGGACCTTGAAACTTCAGGTGATTAGATTTTGAAACTTATTGGATTGGCATATCTGATTCCTACATGTAGGAGACTTTCCATTATCCACTAATCCACAGCCTGTATTATACTCAATAACTAAGCTTCGCAATACATGTCATTGCAGCACATGGTTATTGGGGGTATCCCGCTCGTGGCAATCTCTATTTTTAATCATGATCCTGCTTTCAGTGGGAGATTTGCAGAACTGACCACAAATGATATTTTGGCACTCCTTTATACCTCCATTTTCGGGAGTGCTATCAGCTATGGTGTGTACTTCTACAACGCTACAAGAGGTCAGGTTCAGATTTTGTATTGTCTTCAGCTCTTCACTCATATGCTTACAAATGTTGAATATTCTCTCTATGTTGTGTACTATGATGACCAGTGGAAATTGATTAGGCTTCTACTGATGCTTTTTAGGTAGCTTGACACAGCTCAGCTCCCTGACCTTTCTCACTCCAATGTTTGCTTCAATTTTTGGGTAAGAGAGTGTAATTAGATCCAAGTTTTTTGCAAAAAATTATTATATGTCTCGAAATATAAAATTAAAATTAGATCTTCAAAATAATAGAGAAGAGATTGATCGCTAATGGCTAGTTTCTCAAACCCCCCTTATTGTTTCTGCATCTGTTTTGATGCTCATTTATTTGATTGTAAAACCTGTTTCAAACTACAGATTCCTTTATCTCGACGAGACCTTCACTCCTGTGCAATTGGCCGGAGCATTCGTAACTGTGGCGGCAATATACATGGTTAATTACAAAACTGGTGCAGAATGAGAGGTCACTAATCCTTAGTTCTCACAAAGTTGCAAATAGAACAGCTGGAAGATGGCCTTGGCCTGGGCCTGGCAGCCCAGTTTGACTTCTTTTGTCTGAGGGTGTAAATCTATGGATGGTGTGCATATAATAATCTCAGGAGAAAAGAAGGGACATAGGTTATTAAAAGTACACAGTCTAAGTCTAGGTGGTTTTATCCATCATAACATAGTTGATTACTACTTGAAATTTATAAGGTATACTTGATGTTTGAGGAACAGGTCAAGGGGATCAAAGAAGACAGTAAATGTGGCGGATTTTACGCTTTCGACTCGTGTTCATAGAATTTTTACTGTCCATCAGACGGAAAATTTGAGCATGCAATGTGTGTGAAATGCTACATGTACACCCTAGTTTACTACCTGGGTGATATAGTGTAGAGGCGTAAGCCTGGCTGTACATGTAGCATTTCTTGCAATGTATATATAGTACAGGTGTTACTTGCATTCTGGATTCTTATATTTAATGCTGATCCCTATGTCTTTAATCTTGTCTTCCCTATGCAGTTGGCTGCCATAGGGGTTTCTTCATTACTCTTTCTTAGATTGCCCATCTGTATGGTCATCAGGGAAAGTGCCCATCTGTATGGTCATCAGGGAAAGTGGTTAGTACCAATAAGCAACTGCTTCAAGAACAGAGTAGATTTTAGCCACACCAGGAACCATCCGTTAAGTATCGCCACTCGAAAACCGTGCTACTAAGTACCGAAATTAATGTTCTATCCTTATTTGAAAGATCGATTTTTAGATGAGTGATTCTATATCTAATTAATCTAGCTTCGACTCTACAAATACATTATACATTGTTGGACACTTTAAACTTGAGATTAAAATGATGATTTAAAAGGTTAGGACTTTTGATTTTACCTTAGTTTCATCCAAATTTTCCTATCAAGTGATTGACAATATTTAACATGAGTATCTAGTTGAATTTTATCTCTTTTAATTGACAAACATTTTCTTGATCGTATTTGACTATGTAAAGCTATATACAATGACCGTACAAGTGATGCACAAATGACAGTGCTCTTAACTCCTCCCACTATCACAACATGAAGAACGTCGGCAGCATTTCCAATGAATGCTGGCGTCCTCTGCACGCACCAAATAAAATCATTCGATTTATGATTAAAGAGCTTGGCATCCTAGCTCTCGGATTCTATGGCGTACAATGTGGGTAAAAACACTTTGTATCTGCGATGTATTTTCATAATTTTACATAAAATTATAATAATACACAGGATTGATTAGATTTTGTAAAAGGAAAAGTACCTTTGGCGGGCGAAGCCGACTTGAGTAGCCACCCAAAAATGAATAATGCTATTTATCCTCATTGGAGATGAGCCACAATATATGTGGTAATTACATGACATTAGATGATAGGTTCCATTAAATGAGCCATGTGATTTTGTATTTAAATGAATCTATCATTTAATGTCGTGTAATTGTCACATAGAATGTGGCTCAACCCCAGTGGAAATGAATAACATTACTCTCCAAAAATTGTTAAGAACCAAAACAACAGCGACATATCCACATTCTTTGTGCAGAATTTCGAGTCCGGTCATGTTTCTTGGATCGATTTTAGGTTTGCTTTCTCCCAACTGAAAATAGAATTTGACTTGGTTTGTGGCTTCTCTCATTTTCCCATACTGAACTTTTGCAATAATAAGTAAACTTACTTGTAAGAAAATTAACTTATTATTTAGTTGTACATCGTCAATATATACGTTTGTATTATTTGGTAAAAAATTACTAGCTCTTATAAAGTTTTCAACGATATTCGATGCACTCGAATCGTATTAATAGTATTTCTACGTCAAAAAAATACTCCGTATCTTGTAAAATGGTATCCATAGTTAACAGATATCTTGACCAATCATCATGAATATATAAATATGATCAAATAGATATTTTAAAACAATGTAATACTTCCATCCACTAAGAAACAGTTAGGTATCAAACTAGTTTTCTGAATCAAAAGAAAATACTAAGGCGGTGAAAATAAACTAATACATATAATATTTCCAGCACACCTTCCCTGATCAAATAATTAATATTGCAACTTGGATCAACAAAAATAAAATTAGAGGTTTATTGAAGCCAAATAAAATTTATATTGGGTTTGACACTTTCCACTTAAGTCAAAGATGCATGCTGCAGTGATTTCTCATAAACATGATAATCAAATTCGAAATTTCTAAACATATGTATAGGAATTGATGGACAAAATCAGTGGGTGGCATCCGAAGTTTCCACGTGACGTGTATGATTTGAGATTAAGCCCTGTTTGGTCTCCATTATAATTTAATATATTTTTTTGTCTCCTCATTTTAACCATATATTCTTCATTTAAAAAAAAATTCCTTATTTTTTAATCACACATTTTTAAAAAAATCACTACCTCAAAATACATTATTTCTAAAAACTCATTATAATGGATCCCAAACGGGGGCTAAGCTTATCGTAAAAGGCTTTTACCTTAGTATCTTGAAAGAAATTAGTGTAAGGTTATCATACCGATGACAGTTGACTTTGGGAGGATTCCTTTTGTATGCTTCCATTTCTTGAATCTAGAGCGGGGGCTACTCAAATTAGAAGGGTCGAACAAAAAGGTTCGATCCCGTTCCAGTTAAAATCAGTTTAGTTTTCGATTTTAGCTGCAAAATCAAATTTTGATTCGGTTCCAATTTTTTATTTTATTATTCTCTCTCAATAAAACTGTGGTTTATATAAATTCATAAGCAAACAATATAATTGAACCAAACCCATGTCAAGCCATGCTTAAATATATGGTGCAAAACAATACTCATCACATAAAGAATATGGAAATGTCTACCCAAAAACTTAAATGAATAGCCATGGCTGTTAAGAACAACCGAGTGGAAGCCATAAAGCATACTTCGCTGGTTATCAATAGCACAGCTAAGGAAGAAGGGCTAAGCCACGAATCTACTCCCACTTTTGTCTACCGGCTAACTGGGTTACGTCCACCCTGCTGGAAATCCTTCACTAAAACCTTGACTAGGAATGCTTAGTGACAATCTATCGATTGTCACAGCCTAGCCTCTATTGCTACCACGGTAACATATAAGCAAACCAAAACAACAGATATTTTTTACCACATGAAATGAAATGCTCATATTACTATATTATACAATCGCCCAAGTCTTTCCACTTTCTATTCTACTTTTAAGCTTGCTTACACGTGTGTTTGGTATATATTGCCTTCATTATGTGAAATTCTTTTTTCACTTACATAGGCAAGATTTTGTACAAGATCACTCACAAGGGAAGAGTACGATAAATATAGAACGGTTCCTTAGGATTATAATAAGATTATTACAAAACCAGTAGATTAACAAACACAAAGAGGGAGGTAAAGGTCTAAATATAAGGTTCCACAAACAGCAAAATCTCAAGAAAATACGAGCAGTACAAATCCTTCTGTGCACATACCGGATCAGACCTGGTTTATGCAATCAGCATATTGACTCCAAACGAGATAGTGCAAATCATAAGCCCCAACAATGCTAAGAAACTGTACTTCCTGTATACAGCAAAATTCAAAACAACTTCAATATCGCAGACGTGTATTGACAGATGATGCTTTCAGAGTTATGGCACGGAGCACGAATATGAAAATCGGACACACCCTTGTGAAACATATATGGCTGTCGTTTGAGCATCTATATTTAGTGCAGTGAAAATAACATACTTACATACAATCATGTGGAGATGCTACAAGTTCTCTACACTAGTCTAATTGCAGCATTTTGTATTATTTTTCCATTTTCCATTCTTGATTGTTCCATTGGTGTTCCGTGTACAATAACAATGAACACACCATTGATTATATAAATTTTTACTCGAAGAGTTATTAATAGTGATGACGGGATACTATTCAGTTTAAATTTCGTCTATGTATTGTAGCCTATCCCAATTCTGGATAAGGGAGGCGTAAGTTTACATTTTTCTTACAAATTTATGTCTTGTATTAGTGAAAGTATATTTTTGGAAGGAAAAAAGGGGGAAGCTGTGCCGATCTGGATCCACCACCTAGTGGTGTGTCAATACTCCATATTGAAAGAAAAGAGAATTTTGGGTAAATATAAATGTAGAGGACTGAGTGAGTACTCACCCAATGGTAAACCGCTTCTTGGGATCACCGGTGGAATAACCTTTAAAATAGAAAAAGCGAGCAATACTATAAACAACTCCAAGTGATGCACAAATCAGAGGATGCTTAATTCCCCCCAATATCATCAACGTGAAGAACATCGGCATCATTTCCAATGAATTCTGGTGCCCTCTCTGCACCCACCAAATAAGAATCAACGAAACCAATTACATTCCCAAATAGAATCGTCTGGTTTAGAAAACAAAAAATCAATGTACCTGAACACAGTTAAAGAGATTGGCATCCTTGTTCTCAGCTTCTGTGGCGTACATTGTCGGGTAGAGCACTTTGTACCTGCGACGAATTTACATAAATTAGAGCCCTAAATTTTACAGAGAAAATTCCAGGGAAAAAAAAAGGGTACTTTTTGCGGGCAGCGCCGACTTGAGCAGCCATCCAGAAATTGAGAAAGCAGTAAAGCACCAAAACAATAGCCACATATCCGTATTCTTTGGGCAGTAATTCCAGTCCGGCCATATTGCTAAGCAAAATTGATCTGACTGAGTTTGGGAAGGGGGAATGGAAATAGATTGCCGATCGGTGGAAGTGTTTTGTAGTGGCTTAGCTGTCTGTCTTATATTGGATTAGCCAGCCGATAGGTGAGAGTGTTTTCTAGTGGCGTAGCTTTTTTCCCGAGGCAGCAAATAGGATTTGACTTGTTAATCTATGGCTTGCCTTCTTTAAATTATCCGTCTAGGAAATGCATGCCTAAGACACGCGTGACATTTTCATTTGGTAAACGGCTTTTTCATTTACAAATTGTCAACACCATTTAATTTAATTTTTTTTTTTTATATTTATAGATTGTTAAAAATCAGCAGACTAAAAAAATTGGCGAACGATGTCATTTTTGTATTTAGTATTACGGGTGTTAGGTGATACTTGTATAATTAAATGAATCGTTTTATTATATATTTCATCGGTTCTTTCACTTAACGTTATTTAAATTGGTATTATATGATACATAATATTACTTTTTTTATATTGCCTCTGTTTAGTTCAATTTAAAAAATAATTAGCATTAATAATTCGTTTCAATCATCATTTTACGAAACTCGCAATTTTTTAATCACACATTTTATTAACTTTTATCAGAATTTACTAAAAATCTTCCTTTTTTTAAAAAAAAAATAAAGTAATTATAGCTCTCTCATAGAGAGATTTTAGTTACCTAACGACTTTTTTTCATTTATTTTTTCTAGATAGTTTATGTTTTTGGTCCATTTTGTACAAAACGTCTTATCGTTTCAATTTTGACATTTTAACCCTCAAGTCTATCAAAAATTGTGCAAATTATCCTTGTCATCCATTTCCTCCGTTAATGTATTGTAAATTGACAAATTTACCCTCATTTTTTTAATAAAAATGAAAATAAATAAATATTAACATTCAAAGTCCCAAATCTTTTCATAAAGCAAATCCTACCGTAACAATTAAAAAAAAAAAAAAAAATCCCTTTAATTCTCCAACCAACCGCACCTCCCCGATGCCCAACCATAATACATTTAACCCCCGTCATCATTGTTAGTCCACAGTTCATATTCAACTTGAGCATCAAGGTGAGGAACACATTTAGCATATTGTAATAATCATACATGAATGTCAGTATCTCTTTTAATAAGCTACAACATTATCAAAAACAATGTAGAAAAGAGCCAAGAGGAAAAAAGACTTTAGCACCAAAATTTCATCACCAAATCTGAGTGCCACTTTGGTCCCACACTATTACTCGTCTTTCAGATCCTTTAATTGCAAGTCAATCAATAATCAGAACGCTGAGATGAATTTTTGGATCTTTGCTTGTGCCCTCTCCTTCTCGTCTGGCCCCTCAAGATCACCAATATTGTCTTGATATTCCTGCGATTCACCCACAAATTCAACAAGTTACATATTCAGACTAGTGTAAAGTTGAGTGTAAATTTTTTTCTAGACAACAAGTAACACCTCTTCTTTGCCAAAGGATCAAATGTCTAAATGTCTAATACGTTTATAACCCCGTGTTTGACAACCATCATTTCAACTTTTTAATTCTCATATTCATTTTCAACCATGCATTTACATTATATATATTTTGCACATAACCCAAATTTTAACCACATTCTCCAAAAAAATATCACTATCCAAAACTCCATTTCCTCAAAATAATATCCATCAAACAAGGGCATTAATGCATTTCAGCTTCACAACTTCAAATGATCCCTCTGACACTCACAGATAAAATGTAAAAAATAGTGTATTTCAATCTTCTATTGAGAATAACTGGAGCAGGGCATGGCAATAATTTCACAATTATACCATCATTAAATAACCTAGCACATACAAACTTACAAACATCATGTTCTACATGTTAATTTGATCCCAGTCTTTACCGGGTGAGGTTTACAGTCTTCTAAACAGTCTTTGATTCGATATCTAGAGCCTGTTTGGTACAGATTCTCATTTTCTACAGTAAATCAATTCTCATTTTCAATCACATTCTTCAATAAAATAATATTTTCCATCACATCAATACTTTTTTCTTCTTTTTCAACCACACATTTCCCATCATATCACTATTCAACAATCAATTCTTCCCCCAAAAATCCCTACCAAACACACTCCTATTCAATTTTCTTTACACATGAAGCAAAAAAGTTGTGGCATTATCCAACACTAAAATAAGTTAAAACTGAATATGATTTGTTTTTAAATGAACTAAATTTACCTACATAATTAATGAACTAGAAATATCAAAATCAAGCAAGTAAAAGACACCGACTCTACTAATGTAGAATCCATGGTCTTAGTCTATTCATAATCTTCTCAAGGAAAGTTTCTGTAATTTCTTAATTACACCTATCCATTAGTGTTGAAAAGTCAGAAAACATATGGCATTGACGCAAAGCTTGATATTTGTGTTTGCAAGTTACTGTAGAATCCATTAGAGTTCTGGCCTTGGTCTATTCATAATCCTTTCAAGGAAAGTTACTATAATTTCTTAATTTCACCTATCCATTAGAGTTAAATAGTTATGTAGAAAAATTATGGCATTGATGCAAAGATTGATATTTGTGTGTCCGCAAGTTCTGGAGATACTTCCATATCCACTACTAATAAATTAACATCCTCGTCAGTTGCAGCACAACATGCACTAACCAATGCAGTCCACGGAAAGAAGAAAAGAACTGAAGAAAAACTTGCAACTTGTTTCTTTTCATTCTATTTACTTGCACTTTTATCTTTTAAGAAATTGTCCCAAGTTTTTCCATGCTTTCTAGGCTCTCTTGCTCTGGGGTATTCCTGACTAAAGCAAAATGCAGTCAGACTAGATAGTTACAGTAAACCATCTTTTGTGATCTGTTGCAACCTTTTCAGGTAGAAGTACAAGTTCAAGAAACCCCAAATCTCAGGTGGCAAGACAACTTGGTAGCAAAGTATTATTCTCATTGCTTTTAACTAGCTTCTAATACAATGAAAAAGATTAACCTTCATTTAGGGTAAGTATTTGTTGCATCTAATACTGAATGCACGTGTAAAAAGAGAGATTTTAGATCTCTATTGGGGGAAGAGGGGATAAAACTAATCTTTGAAACCCAGTATTAAGGGGATTATGTTTTGTAACAAGACAACTTCGATAATGAAATGAAAATATTTTCTCTCTCTTAAATTATTCATCCGTCTGTCTAATTATTCTGCCATTTCTATGTCCCCCTCTTCTCTTTTTCCCCTCCTTCCTTCTTCCCTCTCCTTTCCCCTTGTCCTATAATTGTCTATTGCATCCTACGTCATCAGTGGTTAAGCAGCAGATAGTTCTATTCCGTATTACCCAATACCAAGACTTAGGGAGTCAAAATAGATGCAATTTTCCCACCTCTAAAGCTGCCCCTTGGGCCACTACCTCGACAAGTAATCAACGGCCATTTACCTTTCCAAGTAAGGATGGCATAACAATTGCTAAACCAGTCTCATAAATTTGGATCCATGCTATAGCATTTACACGTACACGGTGACAAGAATCTGTTACGTTGGAAAAATATGGTAGCTTGATCTAAAGATTTATCACCAGTATCATTAGACTCTAAAGTTATGAATAGACATTAAATTTTTTATCACTTTGGCATCCACATGCAGAATGCCAAAAATAGCTTTTGGGAGGTGGAGGTGGAGGTGGAGGTGGACGTGGAAGTGGGGGTGGGGGGCTGCACTCTTTTAGTCAAACACGCTCCTCAAATAACAAGTCTAACTGTCAAGTCAAGTGCTGTGTACTCTAAGAAAATACCTATAAGGCATCAAATGAAGTTATCAAAAGCGGCTACCATAACATTCGAAAGTTGATCCAAGTCTAATAGCAAGATTAAAATTTTAAGTGGTGCTTTTGACAAAACCATACAACTAGAAACCGAATTCATGAAAAAGAATGGTCTGAGGAATGAAGTAATGAACTACAAGTCAAGAAAGAAAATTTTGAGGGCAAGCTAAGAGGCCAGTACCTGAAGTATATCCTTTACATCCTTCTTGGTTAACTTTTGCTGCTTTAATAACAGTTCAATTCTTGATCTCATTCGAGGGTGCCTAAGTAAATACAACAATCTTAGATTTAATAATTGAAGAACAGTAAATGACAGGCTCCAAAATGAAGTCAATTAAATGAATCTGTATATAAGATGGCGAGACTTACTCAGAGGTCCAAAGATGACCCAGAATAACAGCTATCAACTGCAGAAACAGAGTGACTTTCAATAACATAGAAAAACTACAATGGAAGCTCTTACCAATAATAAAAGAGTCGGGGGGAACCTGGAGAGTATAGAGTCCAGAGTCTAGCTTATGATTATATTTTTCCTCCTCGTCCATCTGCAAAATAATACAGATAAATATAAGTTCATTTGAGTTGTTACAGACATAGTAATGATTATACACAAGAGTCCAGAAATTAATTTACCTCTAAATCATCAAGATCGAGCTGATTCAGTCGTTCAGTCTCCGCTTTCACTCTATTGGAATATCTATAATTGGCAGAAGAACTACATGTCATGAGAAGCTAAAACAAAACAGCCTGAAGAGAAAATAATTTTTTTTCCCATTTGTATACACAGTAGAAACATGAGTTTTCGAAATAAAAAGGGTTTGCAAAAGCAATCATTACCTCATGTAGAGCTCCATAAGTCTGTCTATCTTTTCACACTCATTCTCCACAAATTTACTTAACAGTCTTTCCCTTCTAGAACCCCTCAAAATTCCACCTGATATTGGACACGGAGTGAGATTAATTCATTTCCATTATACCGGGCAGAGCTATTGCAAACATAATATGTATAATCAAATGAATCTGAATTCCTTATGTCAATTATGCGCATTACTTTGAAAAAAACAATTTGAACTCAGGGCTTGGGCTAACTCAAAATTAAGATATTATTGGCATCATACAAGAAGCTAGAAAGCTTTAAATGAATAAGAAACAGTGAAACACAAATGTATCCATTCTACCATAAATGGCATTATATTCAATGCTTCAACAAGAAAACTATGCAACATTTCGTTATGTAAAGGCTACATATGGAAGTAGGTATACCACTTTACAGTTAAGACAGTGTATATTTATCCACTACGTCAATAGTTATGCAAGGGATTTCCCTTCTTACCAAGTAACGATGCAATTAATGATATAAGGCGCTCTTCCAATTCTTCCTTGTAGCGCTTCTTCTTGTTTTTCTTGTTCAAAGGTATCTAAAAAGCAATAGAAGGAAAACTTAGACACGAATACAGGCACATAAAAAATAACAAAGATAGCATATTGACACTATAAACAAGAAAATTCAATAAGGATGCGAGAGTGGTATTGGCAAATCAATAACAAGAAACTTATTCCATTCCAAAATTTTCAATTCTTTTCATCCTAAATTTTTAACTAAACATTTAGACATGATTCAGCTTTATGTAACAAACTCTTTCTTTTAACCAGTTAACCCATAAATTGGGCTTAAAAACTGATTACAAAATGTTGATAAATATCCACTTAAGCAAGCAGTAAGCACAAAAGGGAAACTGAACTTGCCTTACCCATAAAAGCAGGAAATGCAGTCTTCAACCCCATGACATCAACAAACCGCTCGCATGCAGGTGGATAATTCGTCATGGCAAAATCTAATGCCCTGATGGCCGACCCGTAACACGATTTCTTTTGATTCATAATAATGATCATCAACTCCACTCCTTCTGCCTTCACAAACTTCTCCTTATTCTCCAAAGGCATTAGCAAACAACACAAACAATCAAAAAAATTCTCAACCATCTCCTCCTCGTCGCCTGTCTTGGGGTCCCTGGACTTGTACATCGCTACAGCCTGCAACAACGTGTCCACCCCATTCATCTGTCCAAATCTCTTTTGATTCGCAGTGCTGTTCTGTAACAGAATAGCTAGAATCTCCGATGCGTACTGTTTGTTACTATCAAATTCACGTACTTTAATACGAGCCTGGAGCCATTTCAACAATTTGGTCTTCTCGCAGACAAGCTCGGACACCGATGGCTTGACCTCAATGAGGTTCTCAATTGTAGACAAGGTATTATAAATGGCAGCGGATTCTTCCGGGTCGGAATCATTTAACCGCGCAAGGTTCTGAACCAGCAATTCAACCGCATTGTTCTCAATGAGCGCATCAACAAGGACCTGCGCGGGCTCATCGTTATCCTCAATGACGTCAGCATCGGTAAGGTCCTGTAAAAGAGTGACCGCGTCAATAGCAATATCACTATTGTCGTGGTTGAGTAGACCGGTGATTGAATTGACAGTGCCTAGGCTGACAAGGTCCGGATAGAGCTCGGGGGCGCCAGCAAGGATCTTGAGCTTCTCGAGCTCGTCGTGGAGCTCCACCTCCGAGTCGGCGAATTTGTCGGGCTGGTCAGGGTACTTGAGGCGGGCGGCGGTGTTGGCGTTCAGGCGGCGCTCGAAGGAGAGGGCTAGCTTTTTTACGGTTTTAAGATCGAGGGTTTCGACGGGGTTGTGTTGAGCTTTCTCAAGGGCTTCGAGAAGGGAGAGGTCGACGCCACCGTTCGCGACGGAGGCCTGCGGTGGGGAGTCGGAGGAGTCGTCGCGTTTGCGCTTGTTCTGAATTGGAGGATCCATGGGGTAATTCATTGAGTTTTCCTGTGCAGTAGAACCCTAAAATTTGTTTCACAGTGCAAGCCGAGTGACGGATAGGAGCCATTAGCGGTAATAGCAGAATTGGTCCTCATATTTCACTTCTCATGCACTTAGGTCTAAACTTTCTGAAGATGATCATTTACATCCTTACCCTTTTGTTCTAGTCCTCATTAGTTCCCAATTGACCAATTTAGCCCTTGTTTGAACCCCATTATATAAAAAATTCAATTTTTGAAAACTCATTTTCAACAACACATTCTTTAATAAAATAATATTATATATAAATTGAAAACTTTTTCTTCATTTTTAGTATATATTTCAAAAATCACTATTCAAAAAATGCATTTTTTCTCTCAAAATGAGGCTCAAACAAAAGCATAAAGTAAGATGCCCAAATTGTTATAAGGTAACTTTACCCTCAACTTTATCATAAATAAAAATCAAATATATAGTAATATGCACGGCCCTCCCTTCTCCTTGCATTCTAGCCGAGGCGGAGTAAGGATTAAAATATCTTTATCTTTATTAATTTATTATTATAAAATCGATGATAGCTTTGATACCAGTTTGTTGTAATATAATGATAAATATCTGACACAATATGAAATAAATATCATAAATGCATAAGAACAAAATATAATTGGCAGAGAAAAGAAGAATTAACTAAAACATGGAAATGATATAAAGATTTACATAAGTCGTATGACTTTGCATTTAAATGAAGAGTGATGTTATTCAGCTACATTGATGTTATAACACCAGTTTAAGTAGTATTAGGTGATAGACTAAGAGCATGTTTGTCTAAACTTAAAATTCAATTAAAATTGAAAATATAACCGTTATTGGGTTCCACTCGTCTAATAAAAGTCAACAATAACGGCTAATTTTTCAATTTTAATCATATTTTAATCTTTACCGAGTACGCCCTAAATAAAATGTGGAATTAAATGACTCATTAAATTGTATTTATCATTTAATGTCACATTAGCATTATCTAGACTGGTGTTATAACTCAAGTGGGGTTAAATAACATGATTCTTAAATGAATTTATCTTTTGATGCTATGTAATTATCACCAAAATTGGTGCTTAATCCCAATCAAGATGAATAACATTACTCCTAAAATTAAGGCGTGGTTCAAAATTAATCGAGACATAGGGATTCAAGCGCCATCCTTGTTATTGGAAAAGGCATCTGTGCACATTTTAAGGCTACATTTTCATATATTAAACATTACTTGAATCCATACGTTTTACATTTATTTATAAAGAAAAAAAAATTGTATATCAGGATACTATGAACATTTCTCTCATGTTCGGGAATATACAGTCTAGCCGTTCAATCTTTACAAAGAATGAGAAAGATATCCTCAAGAGTTCAGAATATTCCAAAGGAAAATGACAGAAATTAACCAAACAATTCCTCCAAATATTTGGCCCAATATTGAAGACAACGCTCCACGGGAAACTCTTCCAATGGACTATGCTCAAAGGATTCAACAAGACATTCAGGCTCATATGGAGAGCTTAAGCCATATTCACAACTGGTATCCAGTCATTCCACCTGAAGATTATTATTTTGACAACTATTGGAATCAATTGTATCTGAGACGACCAACACAAAGCTTGGGACAGATAGCCAAGTATTCAGAAGATACTCCCGAAGGACAACAACTCAGAGAAAAACTTTGGAAAATGTTAAATGAGATTGTTCTTACTTCCACTCTTCATATATGACGAGAAAACCCACATCTCACAAGGAAAAAAGGAAAAGAAAAAGTGCTACAAGAAGGAACAAGTTCAAGCCAACAAGCATCAGCAAGCTAGCTAGAATCTACGATATCTCAATTCCAAAAGTCTCAGGATCCATGGGATTATTCATTTGACCTATTCAACCTTGACAACCTTGAAAAGCTCCAACAACAGATTGAAGAAGAAAATGAAAGAGAGAAAAAAGAAAATATGCCATGGTGGAAAACACTAGGACTGCTATCAGACTCTGAAGATTCGGACGAACTAGCTATGGCAACAAATATGGGCACTCCATGACACACAAAAATACCAAGATCTAAAACCTTTGTTACTTTGTATGAGTTGTCAGAAATAATTGATAAAGTACTATTTACTTGATTACAATTAGATTTTACTTTATCAAAAGATGAATGTCCGTTTGTGTAATAATTGTACCAGAGTACTATAGTACTGTATGCTTTATGTCCACTTGTGTGATAATTGTACCAGAGTCCTGTACTGTAGTACTATATGCTATATGTCCACTTGTGTAATAATTGTACCAGAGTCATGTACACTTTTTAAAATTTGTGTGTCCATTTGTGCAGTAGAATGAAGCTCTTCTCGTATAAAAAGGGCTCTCCTTCTCCATTGTATGGCATCGAAAATCAGAAATAAAATATTGAGTTCTTTAAAGATCATGAGTTTCTAAATCTTTCATGTTTCTTACTGGAATCCAGCATATTAATAATAGTTTTAATAGTCATGGAAAGCCAACATTACAAGCAATAACAAAAATATGTTCTGCTGTTGCCTCTTATGAGGATCCTTAGCATCAAAAATTGTGCTGCAGACTTAACGATCCACCAGGAAGGTTTGCAATCCTAAGAGTCAGACCCTGTATTTGTTCTGCCCTAATTGACTAGTCTTTTATTGGGCTAGAATACCTGGATTGCATTTCTTCCTAGTTGGTATCAGAGCCAAAATTCTTTCGTTGGTTTTCATGAACTGTTAAAGCAAAGTATTAGTATGATGGTACTAGTGGGAACATTTCTCTCCTAATGACTTTCGAAAATCTTTCACAACATCCTATTACTACCCCTACTCGATCTTTCACAACATCCTCTTACTACTCTTACTCAATCTCGTCTTCCAATGCTATCTCTCTCCTCTTCACCTTCCTTTAGAAGATCTACTTCTTTTAAGATGGATTATCTTTATGAGATATCCTACTTAAATGAATCTAATAAAATAACCCCTAATAGTCTTCCTCATGTAAACCCATATCTGGCCTACTCAAAACTACGTCAATCTTTCTCTAAGTCTGTCCGAAGTCTGATTTCTCCTCAAAACTCAAGTTAAAGAATTTGTACAAGCTACAAAATTCGATCAACACGTCGTTCCTGCCACAGAATATGAGCAATTTGTCACTCTTGAAATTCCATGTCATTTTGCAAATGTCTGGTTGTCGGAAGGATATACACACATCCATTTTGGAGCCGTAAGATTTGCTCTTACTCTCCATGGAAGAAAAGGTCTCCCTGAAATTTCAAGAATTGCATTGTTTGATACAAGGTTTGCAGAATATCAACATGCATGTATAGGAATTGTACAGACCACTCTAAATGCTGGAACTGTCCTTGTAACCATGTTTCCAAACTTCAATATGCCTATATCAGATCCACAACTGCTCTCTGCTTTAAAAGTTCAAATCAAGATAGTTGGGGCTGTACCATCTTCAGTCACATATGGTGCCATTCTTCATTATCAGATGGTCTATAGAATCCAAAATAATTCCTTAGATTTTGCTATCCCTCAAAGGACAGAAGATGTTTTACTCCTTCAAATGGAAACTGAACATGGTCCTAGCTATACTTATGTTCCAAGACAAATCCCATGATATGAACTTTCCAAACTTATTCTTGAGTCTTGGATTACAAGCTATGAACAATCCCATAAATTAGCCAAAGAATCCACCCCCATAAAACCCACTCAACATTGTTTCGGAAAGAAATCTGATGGATCCGTCGAGATCTACTTCAAAAAAGATCAGATCTCAAAACGACCACTTTGTTTTCCAACTCAGTTTTCATTTATAGAAGATATCCCTATTTATGCCTTTAACTCCGATGGAAAACCTGTTTACGCCAGAATTGATGACTCTACCCATGACTTTCGGGATATTTGTTCTTGCCCTGATTGCTTGAGCACTGAAGATGATGATGAGTTCTCCTCCTAGGAGAAGGAAATTAAAGAAAGGAATTCAACAAAAACTTCACAAGGCATTTGAAAACAAAGAAAATTTTGTTAGGTTACTTGGAGAACCCTCTAGTAAATTTGATTACTACGTCAAATTTACTCTTCCACCTAGAACATATGAACTTATTACTCCAACTGGGTGGGATGATGGTGGTGGTGGTGATGATGATAGTTACTGCCGAAGGTATAAACAATGGGATTGGAAAGATCATGATAAAGACCCGGAGCCGTTAAATGCTGGCACTATACCTGCAACTATGTTTCATCCTCCAACAAATCTAACTCCTATAGAAAATTTTGAAAAAGATCAATCAGAGCATATGTGGAAGGTGAAAAACCCAAGTACTAGAAAAGTAGATGGATCAATTAACAAATTTTCTCCTACAGAAGCGGTACTGAATTGGCAATTTGAAAATGCCATACGACAAAATTCTCTTATCAAAAAGGTTGATGAACATCAACAGAGGACTAAAAGGACTCTTAAGCAACAAACTGTCATATTGACCTCCCCTATTGAAGCTTGCAAACAAAGAATAGAGACTATTCACAATAAAATCATGACCCTTCTAGCCAAACGAAATCAAACAGTTGAAAAATCAATTGACTGGTATGGAATCAAAAGCCTTTTTTCCCTTCCAGCACAAACTGGACATCCTCCTCATCAACATACAACTTAACCACTTCAGAAAAATACCAAACTATGGAACTACCTCTTTATTCACTCCTGAAGAATACGAAAGAAGATGAGACCACCCAAAATTACAAAAAGACAATCACAAATAACCAAAGTAACATAACCCATAAATAGACCTTTCCAAAAACCACCACAAATGACGATAAAAAACCATATCTCTACACTCCTAGAAAAATGTAAGATTCAAAACCCAACCGCACCCATTCTCATAACAAATACACTGGCTTTGAGTCCTATGAATCTTCCTCAGACGAAGATTACAATCCTCAGTATATGGCTAACGAAACGAGTCCAAAAGTTGAGGAATCATT